CGCCACAAATATCATGACACGAAATTCTTGATGATTTATGATGCCAGAAGTTCTGGCCAGGGTCATCCTACCTAAATCTAACAGTAGTCAAGTAGCCCAACTCCAACATGAAGCACATGACCGTGTTCCTATTATAAATACTCCTTCATTTCTCCGCACTGGATTGCAAAAAGAAAGTCCCTGCCGAAAAAACGTCTGAATAGATATCATAGTACGTTTTTCGTGCTTTACAAGATTTCTTGTAGAATTGATTAATTTTGTCTTCTCTGAATGTTGTTCAGTATATTTATATCCATTCTCTAATATGGAGACCAGAAGTGGGAAGTATAATGTAAGTAAGGCTTTACCGATAATGCGTTGGCCCATAGAGAAACCTAGGTTAGGTTAGGTAAGGTTCGTCAGGAAACAGGACAAATGTTTCCTGACGCGGGTCTTAGTCAGATGATGACCCGCCTTTGGAGCTTTTGGTCATCTGACCGAGGCCTTCCGCTGGCTTACCGGTCCACCCCTTTAAAAATTATGGTCATATAGAACCATTTTTTATTGTCAATAGAGAAATCTTTGGTCTTCTGCTACTTATACCTTCTTGATATATAGCCTAGTTTGCTAACCTTATTACACAGACTTAGGCACTGCTGTCCTGCTTCAGATTTCCGCTTACCATGCCTCACAGGTTTTATTTTATTTTCTGTTATCATATTCAGTATCATCTATTTTATAAGTGTGAAGGGTTAGTTTTTTTTTTTTTTTTTTTTAATTTCCATTTGCTCCTGTTAATTAAATTACATTTGCTTCATGCGGACCACAACAGTTTGTCCAAATCTTCGTGACTCTATTATATACCTCTCTCAGTATATTATTTGATGTATTTTTGTACCGTCAGAATATTTATTCATGTTGCTCTTTATTCTCTCATCCAGGTAATTAATATATATTATGCACAAGAAGCCCAGAACTTATTCTTTTGGAACACGACCCATGAGAAATATTTTCCTCCTGTATCATGTACTGCCAATTTCTTTAGCATTTTGTGTGTGGGACTCTGTCAAAAGCCTTACAGAAACCAAAATAATTAACATCGTATTCTTTACCATAATCCTCTACCTCAAATGCTTTATTTAAGACTGTCACTAAATTTGTTAGACAAGAATGACCCTTTATAAATCTGTATTAAGACCCATTAATCAAATTATGCCAGTTAAGGTAGCCTTTTATTATATTGGCTATTAATGGTTCTAATAATTTGCCTACTGCTGAGATCAGGCGTTTTGGACGGTGACATGATGATACGGACTTATCGCTGATCTGAAGAAAGGTATTACTCTAGTTATCCTTCTAAATCTCTGAGACCAGTTTCCAGTAATATGTTGAACAATGCTAGTTAATAGCTCTCTAAATTCCATCATTCTTTAAAAACCCTTGAAAAAAGTTCGCCGGTGCTTGGGATTTATTATGTTATAACCAGTCTAATTCTTGATATTCATGTCCCTAGTGACTGATATTCTTACTCTATTTTCTCCAGACTGGGATATCATTTGTCTTCTTGTGTGAAGACAAACAAGAGATACCTCTTAAGAAGAGAGCGCATTTCCTGCTCATTATCAGTAAGCTATCTTAATCTATTTTTACGTGGGACCATTTTTGTCTAATTTTTGTCGTGTACACTTGAATCCTTCGAATTCTTTTTGGATTCTTGGATGTTGGCAGTTGTGAGTCATCTTTGCATCTTTGTTTACAATAACGCTACTAGTTTACTTGTCTTCATGAATCATAAGTGCCAATGTTACATAATAATAATATCTTTATTTCTACAAGTACGTGTACAAGGTATACAGACCATAGCTGACATCAGTGACATATTACCTAGAAAGCCGCTTGTTATACAGAGCATTTCGGGCAAATTAGGTAAATTTTGCCCCAGGATGCGACCCACACCAGTCGACTAACACCCAGGTACCCATTATTACTGATGGTTGAACATGGACAACAGGTGTAAGGAAACTGGTCCAGTGTTTCTACTCTAGCCAGGCATCGAACCCGGACCCGTCACCTTGTGAAGCGAGAGCTATGCCATCAGGCCACCAGCTCTGAGGAAATAGGGGAAAATCAGTTTGGCTCCATGGAAGAGAAGTATAGTTTTAATTCACTGAATTAACTCTCTCTCCTGCTCCAGCCTCCCACTCCAACCTCCCACTCCAACCTCCCACTCCAACCTCCCACTCCAACCTCCCACTCCAACCTCCCACTCCAGTCTCCCACTCCAACCTCCTATTTCACTCTCCCAGGAGAAGGAGAAAAGAAGGATTCTAGGAAAGAAGATAAGTTAGTAGCTTCCAGTAACATCATTCATAACACTTGTCTGGTGGTAATACCTCCGGATGATACATGCCTTATTAGAACCATCCATAAGGACCACATCAGAATTAAAGGGATGATTAGAGACCACAAGACACATACATTACCTTCCCCCGACACTCATAGCGATGGGTCACGAGAAACATTAATTCAAACCTACTTGATGCAACGGATCACAGCGTTAATCTTCTTGTATATTTCCAGGTATGAATCGTAATATTACATTCATGAGTAAGATGTCCGATATATATATTATATATATATATATATATATATATATATATATATATATATATATATATATATATATATATATATATATTTATACATAAATATATAATATGTGTGTGTGTGTCTGTCTGTCTTTGTATGCGTGTGTGTCTTGCCGATTAGATAAAACTTGCGATTTTGGCTTAAATAGCAACGCCCTTCTTGCTGAATAAGGCAAGCGAAAATTTGTGAATGCAATAATTTCGCAAAAAATCATT